TAGTTGCTCGAATGACGTTTTTTTAGGATCGAATAATTGGAAGAATCGAATAGATTTTGCAAAACCGAATGTGATGTATTTTAGCCACAAATTTAATCAAATACATTTATTAAAATTACAATTACAACAAATTGTCTATATCTTTTCCAGAATCGAATGGGAATTGCCGAATGTCATAGCTTAAAATAAATGTTAAAGTAGTTTTTGCTGTAAAAATTGTATATATATATTTGTTGACAATCGAATAAATGTTGCTGAGATAAAACAATATTTGACGGCAATCAAAAAAATTTTTCTCAGAACTAAATCTTGTTCGAGGTCGAGAAGATTTGCTCAAAAGCCAAACAGATCGGTTGCCGCGTCGAATGATTATTTTCCTTGGAAAATTCGAGATTTTTTTTTTGAAAAACGGGCTTCCTGTTTCCTTTAGAAATATCATTACCTAATGTTGATTTCCCTTTTTACTAATAAAAGATTGACTTTCCATGTATGCTAAGATTGCTCACGTAAAAATTTTCGGAATAAAGGCTTCTATGTGAGCTTTAATACAATTGTCTAAAATTTCGTTAGGGTGAGTTAAAAATCAAGAAAAAGTAATCTAATTTAATTCTGTTATGTAATTTAAAACTAAAGTTTAATGTAAAAAGCGTAAATAATGAAATACGAACATGGTACAATAAATTTCATTTTTAACAGATCCAATATGGCAAATCTATAAATTACAAGAAAAATCCTTAAATTTGATAATCCTTGAAGATTTCTTTTTACCTTTTAATTTTTTTTTTTTATGATGATGAAGCATAAAATTCAAATCAATTTGCAAGAAATTTGAAAAAGTTGGAAAAAAATATTTACGTACCAAAATGAAATTTGTAACTTGTAATTGATTTCAAAGTATAATGATCTACGTTTTTTTCTACGTTCCTTGGAAAATTAGGATAATTATTAGGAAATGCAAAAAAACTGATATCCTTGTAATTAAAATAAAAATTGATTTTTTATTATTTTACTTTTAATTTTCCTTGATCAAATTTCTTTTTTTTTTCGTTTTAGATTATTTAAACTTTGTAATTATTTTAGGCAAAAAATATAAGCTAGAATTACGCTTGTAGTAAAAAATATTTTCAGTTAAAACGTGAGCCACACTGTGACGTGACTAATTTCCAGTAGTCTTATTAAGTATGGCGATTCACAAACTTGTCGAATTCTCTTTAGAAAATTCCCACGTGCATAGCATTTGGCATTATGACATGTATGAGCAATGAATTTATTCACTTGTCACAAAAGGAAAAAAATAAACTATTTCATTCTAAACAAAATTTTTGGATTACCAGTTTAGCATCTAAATAATTTATCCTGCACCTGAAATCATTTTATGCCTTATAACTGCTGGACATCAATACTCGTACAAGGGTGATAAAATTACCCCATCGGCATCCCTCTCCCATTCAAGTTCCTTGACAAACTTCAGCAGATAACTAACGGAGTCCCTTTGAGAGTTCGTCTAATCCATCAAATCGATATCCTCCAAAAAAAACTACTTCTCCTCCGTAGTAGAACGGGGTACCTTCAGAGTACGAATAGCACGCCCTCCACCACTCAGATGTTTCGACATTATTGGCTAATATCTGATGAAGAAATACCCAGCTTTCATGCCATCTTTGCTGCTTATAAATCGTATTTCGCTAAAATGCCAATCGCAGTACTAATATCCCCCCTACTCAATGCCTGCAAATCTCTACTTCTTGTATTTTTGTTATAAAAGATAAAAAGTTTTATGTAAATAAATGAAAACTTTAAAATTAAAAATGTTCAAATGTCAAATTATCAAATTTTCATTTGTTACTACCTTACAGAACATTCTTTTAAGTGAAATTTGGAGTTCAACGATCTGAAACAATAAGGTAACGAACAATTTACATCTTTCCTATTGTGACATAAGGCGTTTGCTTAAAATTATTTCAATATTTTTCTTATGTCAAGTAAATCTTGATTTAATCTAAGTAAGTTACAAAAACAAAAAAATAGAAAAAAATATCCTTTATAAATTTTTTTCTCAAATATCCTATTTTATGTGTTCCTTCATTCTTTAATTTGATATCAAAATTATCCCAAAAATACAAAAAACAAAAAATAAGATCGCATTAAATTTCATTTGCTTTTGTGGCATGTTTTTTTATGTTCACATGCGTATGTATGTAAGTTTACGTAGAATACGAAATTTGAATCTTATATAATCTCTGTGAACGTTTAAGTTAATTTTCATAATATTTTCCTCTTTATTTTTTCTAAGAAAAATACCATCATTCTGTAAATGCATGTTTAATACGAGTATTAATAAAAAATTATTAGAAAAAAATAAAAAAGAAGTAGATTTAGGGTTGAGCGAGACGACTCTGTAACACTCGTGCAAATGAATGACTCTTACTCGTGTGAATGAAAGAGTGATGTGATAAATCCCACAGGACTTACATCGCTTACTATAATATAGTATGAAAACTGCAAAAGAGAGTCATTTCAATTCAATTCTTGTTAACAAGTCCTTGTTATTATACTCATTTGAGCAAAATTTCAATACTCTAGATTAAATATAATTTCTGTAGCCAAAGAGTATCTAAAATTGATCAGCAGTTACCCGAATCATTATTCTGATCAGACTCAAATTTATGAGGGTTCTTACTTTTAATTTTATAAACCATTTGTAAAAATTTAAGGAACTTAATTCAATAATTTTTTTAATTATAGTTTACACGAATGATCAAGCGGATGGACTTAAAGATATGGCTAAATCAACTCCATGGTCGAGCCTGAACAAACATATACATATATATACATATATATATACATATTGATATCTCAAATCTTTATTTCTCATCGTTAAAAACGAAGTTATAAATTTGTAATATCCTAGAAATCGAAAGTATGTATGAAAAGTGTGAAAACGCTTAACAAATTCTTATTTTATCGTCGTTTATAACCAAATACTACGTGTTGATTTAGTTTTGAAACAATTTTTATTAAGGTTTTTCACCCACATACTTTTACACTTCTTTTTACACTTACTTTTCTTGTTTTTTCGTTTTATACATGTAACACGTATACAATTGACATTCAATTGTTTTAACGTGTAAAAAACTTTAACATGTTGTAAAAATAAAAACATGAAATTCAAGTATGCTATTGCCATTCTCTTTGGAATGATTTTTTTTTATTTGATTCGTCGAGAATTTGTTTTACGTTTACAGTTTATAAAAAATAATTTTAGTTAAAAATAAATATTCGTATTTCAAGGTGAAAATGTTGTGAAGGTTGCGTATACGTATACGTGACGTGGTCAGTTTTTCTTTGAGGAAAATGTTGTTTTTGGTGAAAATGATGTTGGTGTTTTATTTTAATAAAATTAAAAGTTTGATCGAGGTGAAATGTTCAAGTAAAGCAATTGAATTTCCAAAACAAATATTCAAAATTTGTTAAGCAAATTATAAAAAGGATGACGAGATCATTGAATTGGTTTTGTTGAAACCATTTAATGAGAAAATTGTAAAATAACATTAAGAATGGGGCTTGTGGATTCAATTCGATTCTGAAAAAGCATTGATTCTGAAAATTTATTAAATTTTCTTTATTCTGATTTGAAAATTATTTGAATGAGTAAATGTACACATTTTCAGAACGTCATTTACAAATAGCCTCATGGATAATTTCAGACGAATGTTATTTGCGTAAATGAAAGTAATTGAGGTGATTAATATAATCGTCAGATTGATGACATTCTACGGGACAGTACTTAATTGCAAAGGCAGTAGATTGTTCGTAGCTTATTTTACATGACAAAAAAATGTAAAACCGGGACGTAATATCGGTTTGACATATTCTAAAGTTCATTAAATCATGATATAACCAAAATTAATTCAGTCGAACTTGAGTCACACGCGTGCACGCGGGCCGCAATACTAATATCTTGCTGAAAATAGTTTATTTAAGCTTTGCTTCCATCATATTTCGCATAACCTCCATTACTGTATGCTATTTGGTTGATTAAAAGCAATTTGTTTGTGTTAGTATTTTTCCGATAATTTACTTTTAATTTGAAAATTTCAACACAGACTCTATTTATTATTTACGTCTGTAATCTGGTAAATGTTGGACCAAAACCAGGGGTTTAGATTCTTTCTAATGTTGTATTTAAGACCCTACAGAGTAGACTATTTTTTAAAAACTGGGTTTTTACTTTCCAAAACATTACGTCGTATTGTTCTTTCACATTTAATGTGCTAATAATGGACCCCAAAACCTAACATACAAGTCGAACGAAAAAAAATACCCAATTCAAATTTATTTTGTAATTCTGTTAAAGTTGTGAGAATTTTTATTAGTCATAAATTTTTTTCTATAATGAAAACGATTAAAAACTTTTTTCCTTTTCAATTTTCTAAAAAAAAAACAAAATTTTTTTGTTTACCATAAAGAGTTTTTTTTTTATAGCGAAAATTTTAAGTGCACACCCATAACACACTTTCAGAAAAGCGAATTAGAATCAATTTACAGCTTTTAACGGAATTAAATTTTTCGAAGAAATTTTTTTTTGTTCTTTTTTGTAAATTTTAATTTTTTCCAGTGTTTTCTTTTGAGCATCTGTTAACGCAAAACGGAAAATGTTTTTTTTTTTTTTGGTTAATAGATTCAATTTTGATATTGCTTGAAATGTTTGAAGGATAAAAGATTTGAGAAAGGTTCAAAGTTCAATAACATGAGAAAAATAGTAGAAAAAAATTTTCAAAAATTTTCTTTATTGGTTCCTGTATTGTTATATTGTTTTTTTTTTAGAAACGTGGAATTCCTGGCATAGGGTTCATAAATCGCTTGTTGAAATGTAAATTTTAATTTTGTCAAAAGTTTTACTTCTATAAGTTTAAAATGTTATTCGAAGAAATTTTAATGATTTTTTTTCAATTAAATAGAAAAAAACATAATTAATTGCTATTATTTGTCCATCTTACCTTTCCAAAAATATCAAAAATTTCTTGTTCTTTTGGAGCAATCGCACAAATATTATTATTATTATTCAATGTTTTAATACTGCCATTACTTGTTGTTGTTGTTGTAAAATCTGTTTCAATACCATTAACTTTATCAAGCATTTTTGTTGATACTTGACCGGGTGAAACATTTTGCCATGTTGGTTTTACTAATGAACCTTTACGTTCCAAATTTGGTATACCACTTAAATCTGTTTTTATTGGATTATGAAGTGGTGTTGTGGCACCTTGATATGGTGAAAAATTATGAACAGATTGTCGACGGAAACTCATTTTTTAATTCTTTTTATTTTTTTTTCAATTTTCCAAATATTTTAAAATTTTAATTTTATTATAAAAAATTCAAAAAAAAAATTAAACGAAAAAATTAATTTCTTTTTAAATTTTGTTTTTCCCTTTATCCTTGTACAAATGTTAATATCCTTTTAATTAGTAGTACATTTGTATCTGTAAATTTATTTTTTTTTTGTTTTTTATTATTTTATTTTATATAAAATATTTAATAGGTCTTTTATTTATTTCTAATTTAATTTCAATGTCCTTGTTATTTTTGCTTTTTTTTCCCTTTAAAAAACTTTTTAATTACTTTCTTATTAAATAATATTTCTGCTATGATGATTAGTGACTAAGAATTTATAAATAATTAATTTTTATTGGTTTTAAAGTAGGTGGAGTAAGGACGGTTAGAAGATATAATAATTAAAATATTTGTATATATATATATATACAGGATATTTTTAAATGACAAAAGGATTATTAAAATTTGAACGAAAACTCATTTCATGTGTCAATGATTTTAAAAATGATAATTATGTGGTTTATATTGTATATGTATATATGTATACAGGATGTATGATGAAATGATACTCATACATGGATGATTGGTTAATAAGAAAATTAATGAAAAAGAGGGTTGACTTATAAAATATAAAAAGAGTTAACCGAAACTTGTTGCAACAGAATATTTTATTGATTTTAGCTCTTTTAAATTTTTTTTATTAAAATCGTAAGATTAGAATCGTAGGCAGCGGCGAATCTATTGTATATTTAAAGTAATTCTATTACTTATCTCGTACTCAACACGATAAAGCTACAAAAAATATTTTTTGCAATATTCACTGCATATTATTAATTCTTTTAAGTGGTTTGATAAAGAGAAGGGGGCGGGGGAAGCGCACATTCAAGAAACCGCGTAGGGCACTTAATAAATCAGACCCGGCACTGATCGTAGGGATAAAAATTCTTTCTAATACAGCAGTCCTGAAAATTAATAATGTACAATTTGAATTGATTATCCTGAACACAAAGCAGAATTGAAAAATGAAATTCGATAAAAACCAAATTCGCGAACCAATAAACCGAGTTCTAAGTCGTTCAGCTACATATTTGTCCGTTACTGGAGCTCCCATTTGAGTATGCAAAATTTGGCGGAGTCAATATTTCAAAATAAGGCAAAATTGGTTCACTATAAAGTTGGTAACTTCCGCACAAGGTCTTTAAAAAAAACGCCACATATGTTCATGCGGAATACTGTTTAAAAGGCCCTCCAATTTTTGATGGTTCCTACAATTTTTTTTTGATTTTAAATGTATAAAACCATTTGCTTAAATTTTGAGAGAGCCAAACCACAATTTAAGTAGAAATATGTCAATTGTAAAAGCTTTATTCCTGTTCGAATAGAACTAATATTTGAATAAGAAATTAAATCATGGTGTAAAAGGTTAAAAAGGCTAAAATATATTAGTACATGAAAACCTTAGATCTTTTTGTGGACAACCACAGTCATTCCATCCTTGTGATTGATCAAAATCCAAGTGATTGATTTCTATCATAATAACGAACTAAGATTTACTAAAAGATAAATAGTTAAAAATTTTTAATGGTTGTTTAGGCATGACGTGCACAAGTTGTTGTACATAATATGTATGTATGTATATATGTAACCAAAAATCTTTTCAAGGATACACGCATAAATATTACTTTATTAAAAAGTCATGGGTATTACACTAACACAGAAAATTGTAAGGAATGAATTTTTTTCTGGTAGAATAATGAAAAATAGATTTCTTAGAAAATTATTCCTCAAAACTTGATTTCCTATCTTATTTCCTAGAATTATAAATAGGAAAGATAATCCTTATATAACATAAATTATTCATGTCCGCTATTCATTATGTACATATACATAAACAGTCGTAGTTCAATATCTAGATATGTATATAGCGGTTAAACAGTGATTTAGGGAAAAATTTTTGTTCCATTACAAAATTAAAATGGCATTATGGTTAAAAGAAATGAAGGATAAGATTCTAAAAAATGTTTGTGCTGGTCATGTTATTCATTTATATCTATACATACATATATATATGTATGTATATCTATATAGTTTAAATTTTGTTTGAAATATTTAATTGCTTAATTGTTCAATTTAAGGAGTTTTAATAAAAATTTATATAAACGTTTTATAATAATTTAATTTTAATTGAAAAATATTTAACATTTAAATTAACTATAATAATAGCGTTCGATTTGGTTTTTAAATTTTTCCACTTAATTTAGAACGATCAAATCACTAAAACAGTTTATGTGATTTTATTAAAATTAGTCCGCTCTCCTTGTGTTGCAACAAATATTTCATCTTGAAAAGCATTGAGTAAATAACTGAGATTCGTCTGAGGGAATATAAATTATTCTGGCACTATGATTATGAATAGAGTTACCAGTGTATCAAAAGTTTAAAAATCACAGTTTGGTATAAATGCGAAGTGCCTTTATCTTGCATTGGCGGTAATGCTAATTCTAACTGTTTCAAACTTGAGTGTCTGTAAAACCAACGTACAAATATCAAGTTTAATACTCTTAACCTGTCCATTCTCGAAATCGGACGGTTCAATTTGTTTAGACGAACGAACATGATTAGATAAACTTAAAATTCGATTCTGTACAAGAATGGTGTCGTACATGATGGTGGTAAATATCTTGTAAAAAATAAAATGTATTGAATGGAAATAAGAGTTACCTATTCAACCCTATCATGAAATTCCCTTTTTTTGGCCAATTACCCTTCGTGGTAACTGTGTTATAGGAAGAAGAAAAAAACAGAGAAAGGAATCTTCAACTGGAAAGAAAAAATCTCCGAAATGCTTTTAACCCTTTCAATTTATACGACAAATCATAAACATTGATATATTTTGAATAATTCTTGTAAATTAATCTTAATTAGGTTTAATCTATTAAATTTGTCAAAAAATTTTGCCCGTACAAATTGGCATTCAAAAATATTTTTGAGACAATTGAATAACACTTAAAGAATTCGTTTAAGTCTATTAGGTTGAATTCGGTTCATAGTTGGGCCGCAGTTTTTTGCAAGAGGAAGTGCCTATCATAATATTGGTAAAAACTTTGATGAAGAATTTCTATTCACACCTCCTTGGTTGGGATCTTAAGATTTTCTTTAAGCAGTTCTACTAATCTCCCTTACTGAACTTGACTTATTCGTTCTTTTCTAATCTTTGAAATGATTGCTTGTTGCGTCTGATTTAATTATTACTTTCGTAGACTGTTGACATTTTATTTTTAATACGAACGTAATTTATTGTTACTCTATTACGAATATTCACAGCAGAATTTTAGTAATTCGGAATTGAAAATATAACATTCGCAATTTTCTGAATTTCATGGCTACAAACGGAGTTCACATGATTAGGGCTGATTGTGTTTGATCTAGCAATAAATTTTACAAAATATTTAATATTTTAACTTGAATTTCGTTCAATATTAATTTCGTTGGGAATTGGGCTGATTTAATCAATTATTAAAATAAAATTCTTTCTATTATTAAGTTTAAATAATTTTTTTTAAATGTAAAATATCAAATAAATATGAAAATGAAATTTTTTTTCTCTTTTCTTTTATTTTAAAAACATATTTTATTTCCCAATTAAATGATGATTAAAAAATTTGAACCTTTTTTTCTTTTTTTTTTTACCTTTGTAGTAAAAGAAAAATTTTTCATCATCAGATTTTTTTTTTTTGTTGAAAATTCTTTTGTCAATAATGGTAATTGAACCGGAATCACTTTATTAATTTCCTTCCTTTTTTGTTATTGTTGTTATTTCATATATAAAATATTTAAAAAGGACTAGAAAAATTTTTTTCATTTGACTGGTGTAAATTTCACGCAAAAAGTCAAAGAACTGTTTTATATAAAATTGTAACCGTAAATAAGAAAAAAAAACAAGTAAACAAGAAAAAAAAAGGAAAATTTACGATTCTCAGAATGCCTGGTAGGCTTAAAATATAAACTAAAAATTTATTATCATTGTATTGTTTTTTTGAGCGAAATAGAGGAGAAGAAGAATAAGAAGAAGACAAAGATGAAGACGAAAAAAGTTTATGTATAAAATTTATTTTTTAAATAAAATTTAAATTTAGTTTTAAGATTTTTTTCTTTTGAAATAAATTGGGGGTACTAAAGGAAATTTGTAGAAATTTGACTGACCGGAGAGAAGATTAACGAAAAATGTTTAAAATATTAAAAATTAATTGTTGTTATTAAATTAATTCAATTCTCTTCTCCCTTTTGAGGGACGAAATTGTAGAGCCGACCTTATATGAGAGTATCCGATAGTGCCTCAATTAAAGATGAATTTTTCGTCGCCACTACATTTATTTTTTCTAATGGCTATTTCTACGAACTAGAGTCATATTGTAGAGAATAAAAAATTATAAAAGGTCCTATGCTCTAAAACAAAGAAAAAATTTTTATTTCTTGAAAAGTATCTCACAAAGTGCTATAATCAACTTTGTCCTGAAGCAACTTTTTTTACATAAAGTAAGATTTTGAAGGTGAATTTTCAATTTGAAAACCAAATCATAAATATTTTAAAGGAATGCTTTACATACTTATACTAGTTACATACTCGTATTATGCAGTTTTAAAACTGAGCTACGTATTTCATTTGATACTTTCAAATCCAAAGTAGCTGTTTTTTATTTGAAAACCATGCGTGGCCAATAAATGAATTCAATTTTTTAATATTTCTCTAATACGCCTAAAGTATAATAAGCCATACTTTAATTTAATTTTAATTGATTTCCCAATTATTTTTAGGAACTCATCCAATTCATATTTTTCTTCTCAATGAAAAAAAACGTATACGAGTATAAAACTTGAAATCTAGTTAAATTATGATTTTAACCTTCACACGCATTACAGGGATATTACTAAAAGGACTAAATGCAATTTTGTGTACATTGACCTTAAAAAAAGTCATTAAAAATTGAATTTATTATTTTAATAACGCAATGTAATTAGATGTAATGTGACACACGTGAAAACAAAACTTAAAAACAATAAACTTAAATACATTAGTAATGAAATGCATTTACAATGCTTAATGGACAGTGTGTATTGTGATCTTAAAAAGTGTTTTTTTATATAAAGC